TTAATTTTTTTTGCACACTGAAGGATTCACACGCTTCAACCTCAATTGAATCAAAACTTCTCAGTTAGTGGGACCACCTACAGAAGCCGACTAGTGAGTACAAAGCAAAAAAGTCTTGTCCTTGGATAGCATTAAACACACGGCTACAGCAATACTAGTTGAAATAACTGGGTACACCAGTTTAACCATGAATGTAGGAACATCAAGTTTAGTCAAGTCCATATTCACATCAAACTTACTTCGGCATTAAACGTTGTTCTAGTTCCCATAATTGAGTGAGTACCAGTAAATCCTAGAAAATCATTTAAAGCGACTTACCATAGACGGTTCCCTTCTGACGAGACTGATTCAAAAATTGCTGAGAACGAGCTGATTTCCGTGCCTGCAGAGCAGCACTAAGAGCAACAATATGGGTCTCCTCTTCCTCAGTAAGAACAGCACCTGAAGAACAAACAATTTCTAATATGACTTTTCAAAGATCTTGAAATAATCTAACTATTTATCAATGTCACCACGATGATCAGAATTATGAAAGCATGTTTAATGAGAAGGAACAAGTAAGCTATTGTTCCTACCAGTGAAGCCATCAGGGTAGGTCTCAGGCAGATATTTGGTTGTTATATCGCCAGCCCTGAACCTCTTCTCCTCAACAATGTCACGAAGAAGCGGGATATTATGCATTGGCTGAAAATCCAAACATGAGATTTTGAAGGACCTACCTCGTAAATTATTTATTGCCCATGTCTGTCTTAGACAAGCAAAATGATGACAATGAAAAGCTTACACCACGAATCACATAGTTGTCCAGCGCATCACGCATACGATCGAGAGCTTGTTGGCGATCCTTGCCGTGAGTAACCAACTTGCAAATTAGAGGATCATAATAGATAGAGATTTCCGAACCTTCACGAATACCAGAATCGCACCTGACACCCTCGACTAATGTGTGAGGTTCTTCGTACCTGGTTAGACGGCCAACAGATGGCAAACCGAATCCTTTGTAGGGATCCTGAAGGAGAAAACATTGGCAACCGCGAAACGACCAGCAGTGCGAACCAAAACCACAGTGCTTATCTTACTTCAGCGTAGACTCTGCATTCAAAGGCCCAACCATTAATTCCAATATCGGACTGCTTAATATTCAACTTGTGACCATAAGCAATTCTTAGCATTTGTTGTACAAGGTCAATTCCAGTGATAGCTTCGGTGATTGGATGTTCTACCTAAAAAAACAAGATAGTGCAAGACCGATGCAACTTTTTTGGGCACCAAAACCACATCAAAAACTTGACATACTTGCAATCGAGTATTCATCTCCAAGAAATAGAAGTTCTTTTTCGAATCAACCAAAAACTCGACGGTACCGGCTGAATCGTAACCGACAGCAAGAGCGAGCTGTGTGGCTAAAGGACGGTCACTTAAAGCCTTTGACTCTGCAGAAGATTCGCAGGGAATGATTTCAAAAAAACTTACCCTGAGCGCCCATCCTCTTTCGCATTTCTGGGTCAACGAATGAAGAAGGCGCTTCTTCAATAACTTTTTGGTTTCTTCTTTGAATAGAACACTCACGCTCGTTCAACCAAATAGCATTACCGTGCTTATCGCATAAGACCTTAAATTAGTCAAAAATTTCATTTTCCCGTTTTCTCCTCATCGCACCATAACTCAACTAACCTGCATTTCGATATGGCGTGGGTTGTCAATATACTTCTCAACGAGCATACGATCATCACCAAATGAAGACTTAGCCTCCTGTTTCGAAAGCCTGTAGCCATCACGAGTTTGTTTGTCGTTCCAAGCAATACGCAGTCCTTTGCCACCACCACCGGCGGAAGCTTTAATCATTACAGGGTAACCAATTTGGTTTGCCACTTTCACTGCCTCGTCATCATCCTTCAATTTTGGTTTTCAAACAATAAACACCCTACTAGAAAAGTTAGTGGCAAAAAACCCAAATGTTACGTACTTCACAGCTACACCAGAAAACGACAGAAGCAAGAAGCTTTCAAGCTCAAGTTAAGGGAAAAAAATGTACAAATCACAAAAAAACTAACATTGATTTCACCATCGTAACCGGGAATCATGTTAACTTTAGCCTCAGTGGCAACACGTTTTGAGTGAATTTTGTCACCCATGGCCAGAATTGCTTTGGAGTTAGGTCCAATAAATACAGCTCCAGCAGCTTCCAATTTCGCAGCAAAATCTGTATTTTCAGAGAGGAAACCATATCCAGGGTGAACCTAAGTCAAAAAAAAATAATAATAAAGCTCACTGCACAAATTTTACACCCAGAAAAGGAGAAACAATACAGCTTAGACTCCCGCTCATAAATTAAACTCTTACAGCCTCTGCTCCAGTTTCCTTTACTGCCTGAAGGATCCTATCAGCACGCAAATAGGATTCACTAGTGGGCGCCGGTCCAACGCAAACAGCTTCATCAGCCAATTTTACATGAAGAGAAGCGCTATCAACATCGGAGTGCACAGCTACAGTTTTGATTCCCATGGCGCGGCATGTTTTAATGACACGGCAGGCAATCTCACCTAAAGCCAACGATTAACGAAAAGCAGTCACGAAGATCACTAAACCACTCAAACGAATAACACACTATAAGTAGAAGAAACCTCGGTTTGCGATCAAGATTTTGCTAAATTTCTTCTCATTAGGGTCAATAGGGTCCAGCGTGTAGATTGATCGATCATCCTGTACCAAGGAATGTTCTAGCGAGACCGTAGACCTAAAAAAATTGCTAGCCTGTAGCTACAAATTAAACCTCAAAACCTCAAACCTCTACAGTACCAAAAATTGTTCTTTTAAGATCATTTTTTTTTTTTTGGAAATTATGCAGCATTTCAAAACTAGTCAGCGCAAATAGCTAACTTCGCGGCTGTTGCTACAGCGCGGATACCAAGTTTGTTAGCGATGCCACCTCCCACGCAGGAGACGTATCGTAGCGGAAGACCCGTGACACGCATTCTAATCCCACCGGTCTTACTGGAAAATCCTGATATGGAATCAATAATCTTATCATGTACATAGAAAAGATCACGAGAAATCACAACACAGTTTTCACCGTGGCACCAAAACTGCACCAAATGAATAATACGCACGAAATTACTGTGGAAGAACTGAAGAAAAAAAGAAGATACTCGAAGAGAAAAATTAAATGTTAAAAAAATATTGAAACTCTGAACTTTGGCAAACTTGGATTTGAGGAAATTTTTACTGCCATTAAGCTTAATCCTTACACATCTTACACATACAACAGTGACATTCATTTATTTAAATTAAAAAGTTTGTTAACAAAAAGCAGTTGTTCTATTTAAATTTAGACAAACAGATTTGCTGCAGAAGTGTAAATAAAATTAAAAAAAAGTAAGAATAAAGAATAACGCTTCCGAAAAATCATTTTTTGCACGCAATCAATGTACTGTACTGTAATGTCCAGTGTTCAGCCAACAATAAGGAAGTACTGTAAAATAAATGTGAAAAAACAACAGCTCAGATACGTGGCAAAAATGTAGCTGTTGTCTCCACTGTATACGTAAAGACTAGTCTGGCTCACTTCACACGTTTGTACAGAGGTGGCACGTAACTGGTCCTTAAAGAACGTCATGATAAATTTCAACCATGCTCCCCAAAATTTTATTACGCCTACACTAATCCACTTCATTTCAACAACTAAAACCATAAACTGCACATAACCCAAAAAAAAATTCCTATTCTTTAGAGAATCAGAAAGCTTTCGATATTATAACACTCTTCAGTGTAGCAAAAAAACAAAACAAAAAAAAAAAAAGAAGAAACAATCATCATTCAAGTCTAATAAAGCTAAAAAGTTTTGGCACCATTTAAAATCCGCACAATCATCATGTGTGACGTCAACAGTCAAACTGCTGAAGATATTTTCATTATCCTATTTTAAACCTCTTTACCGCATAACATAAAGACCAATTACGTACCATTTCCTGAACATGTGTATTTCCAATTAAAAGAAAAAAATTTGCAAATGGAAGAAGCAGACATAAGAAAGATGCAAGTTTTCTAATTTTAAGAATATCACGTAGCAACACATAATTTACGTGACTTACCGACTGTCTACGAAGTGCAAAAATCATTGCTTAAATAATCAAACAGCAACTTTTTTTCTTCGCAGTAATGAAGGTAATTTTGCAGAGAGCAAAAACAGATAGACAATAAATAAAAACAACCAAAAATTAGTTACAATCGCATGACATCTAGATTCCTTTGAATTTATTTTCTACGTCTACACAGTATACGGCATGTAAAGCGACAACTTTCCACTGGTCTCCATGACTATCATCATCGTCACCACCATCATCAGCAGCAAGACAGTAATCAAGAATAACAACAGGATTAGGATCAGGAGGTATATAGCAGTGGAGTCGCCGGTATTATCAACCAACCATTGCTACCAAAAGAAAACAACCGCACCATATCAGCTGACATGTTATATGTATCCCCAAGGGCCACCTAGAGAAGAACGTGCACTTAGAGCCCATTGACCGCCTTACAGCTCAGCAACCAGACAACTGAACACTATGACGGTTAGGTAAGGAAAAGCAGAGGGTCCAACTGGAACTTTCAAAATGCACGTATGCGTCGTGCGGCAGCCTTTGTTACGTGCGACTCGGCAACATCCGCATACGCTGCGCAGAATGTCAGCATATAGTCGTTTTTTTCCTCCTTATAAAGTTTCTTACCTTAAATACCTATTATTTGTCTATCTATGAGGGCTAGCTGAATAGTAAAAGCAATTTTTGTCTTCACTTTAATCTTATAAACTTATTTTTGCGTATGCTTCTTCAATAATTGAAATTTGTTCTATTCTACTGACTACTTAACACAACTTTTTGCATCAAAATCAACAAAGGAATTTTTGAAAACCAAAGCGGCACTAAACATCAGTAAGAGAGAAAAAGTGAGACCGTATCACTGCCTTTAAAATATATCTTCAGATGTTCAATGAGAAGAAAAGGAAGACGAGATATATGTTGAGAAAGTAAAAAGAGGACCAACTTGCACAAGCATACTGTAAATTCATTGTAGCAAAGACATTGGTAAATTTGTTGACAAAAAAGAAAACGAATCA